GTATTCCTGTTGATGAAACTAAATATCGTGGAATGATTGGATCACTACTGTATCTGACAGCAAGTCGACCAGATATTATGTTCAGCGTATGTAAATGTGCTAGGTTTCAGCCAGCTCCCAAGGAATCACATTTGACTGTTGTAAAAAGAATCATTCGATATCTTATTGGGACTGTATCTCATGGACTATGGTACCCTCGCTCTAACTCTTTTAAATTAGAAGGTTTTTTCGATGCTGACCTTGCAGGTGATAAGGATGATAAAAAAGCACAAGTGGTACATGTCAATTACTGGGAAAGGCATTGATATCCTAGAACAGTAAAAAACAAGCATCGGTCGCATTGTCTACTACTGAAGCTAAATACATTGCTATTGGACAATGCTGCACACAACTACTGTGGATGTCTCATCTATTGGGTGACTATGAACTTTCGTTTAAGCCTATACAAATTTTTTGTGACAACTCTAGTGCTATTTGTCTTACAAAAAATCCTGTGCATCATTCTAGAGCAAATCATATAGATATCAAGCATCATTTTATTAGAGATTATGTTCTTAAGGGAGACATAGAAATATCTTTTCTTGGAACTGCTGATCAGTTAGCTGCTATTTTTACTAAACCTTTATTAGAAGAGAGATTTTGTGGTTTAAGAAAATTACTTGGTATTACGTGGATTACTAATAACCCTTAGGACCTATGTGTACTGTTAATTTTCTTTCGCAATAATTGTCCTTTACCCATGCATTAATTATGCCTCCGTTTTTTCCTCTCTTTTCTCTTCTTTCATATCAGTTCGTCGTTTAAAGTTGGAAAGCCAATCATCATGTCTCTTCAACTGACAACTTTTCCTTTTCTATACTCAACCATCAGAAACCCTCTTCTTAAGGCGGAGAACCCTCTTCAATCACTCTCATCTTTATCTCTTCTCCAAAAGCTCCGATCAAACCCCTTCTCTACAATGGCCAAACATCCTAGAAATCCCTCTGCCTCCACCAGAAAAAGCACCCATTCCAAATCAAAACACCCTTCTATGCCCCCAGAACAAGTAGACCTAGGGTCCGATCACTCTGAGGGTTTCGCCTCTTCTCAAGGAGATTTCTCTGAACATTCTCAATCCCTAGGAGAAAAAGCTTTAGGTAAGCGACCCATGGAAGAACCCCCTGTTTCATCCATCCCAAAGAAATCCAAGGTTGATTTCTCTGTCTCTCTTGAATTTGATCTCAATTTCTGGGATTCCCCAAATAGGGATTTCTTCATTGTTCTGAAAGACAAGCCCATTGCTCATGGAAGGGTTGTCGACCTTGACGACATGGAAGCCCTCAATTGCAAGGTCAAAGACCTTTTCATTCATCAAGGTTGGGTTAATTTCTTCTCTATTCCTCCGCCTAAGGTATATGAACCCCTGGTAAAAATATTTTATGCAAATATTCATTCTAGTAAACCTGATAGGTTGGAATCTTTAGTGTTAGGTAAGCGCATTGTTCTTGACTGGGCCTTATTTGATTCACTCTTTTAGTGTCGTTGTTCTGGTTTTCCTATGCTGTTTAAAAACACTCGGCCTAATGAATTTGAAATTTCCTTTGACCAAGCCAAACAGTGTATTGCTGAGTATCCTTTTGACTCCCTTCCAAACCAGTTAGGTCCCAGTGATGTCAGTTTCGAAACTTCGGTTCTGGCCCACATTGTAGCAACTACTTTGCTTCCTCGTACTGGTTCCTTTTCAACCTTCTCTCAAAGAGACACCTTCTTCGTCTATTGCTTCGTGACCAAACTCAAAATCAAGCTTTCCTCCCGGGTCATCAATTTTAATGATCGAGAGTGCTGATGATCCCACTAGTCGACCCTATGGCATGACAATCACTCACATTCTGGAAGCTCATCAAATTTTTCTCACCAGCTATCCCTTCATCACTGTCTCTAAGTCTTATAATTCTAGAGCCTTTGCTAGTATGGGATATGTGAGTGTAAAAGGCTCCTGGATTAAGAAGCACGATAGTGAAGCGAAGCATGCCCCTGTAGAGCCCAAACCTTCACCCTCTGTCCCTCATCCCAGTCTTGACAACCCTAATCTTGGTGACAAGCTTCGTTCTATTGACTCTCAACTCTATGAAATCAAAAATCTTCTCACAGCCACTCAGTCTACTGTTGGTGTCATTCATTCCATTTCTAAGGAGATAGGGTCTGATGTATCCAAAATTAGAGTTGATGTTCTCAGAGTTAGGGAAAATGCTGTCAAAGCCTTCAGGGAGATTCATGACAGGTTGGATGGAGTGAGCATCTCAGCCAATGCAAGCTTTGAACAGTTGAAGGAAGCTATTTGCAACACCCTTACTTATTTTCTGCGCCTTTAGTGTGGTTGTTTTAAGACAATTTCTTTTGCTCTGCTGGTTTTGGGCTGTGTTTTCAGCCTTTGGATAATTTATATTTTTTGCTATGCTGTTTTTGTGGGCTGTGTTCTCAGCCGTTGGGTGATTCCTATAACTCTCCTGTTTAAATGCTATATATTCTGTTTAGTTCTTGGCTTGTTCCCTCTTTGCTGATGCCAAAAAAGGGGTGGAAAAATTATATGTTATATCTATACAGGTACAGTTTATGGCAGAAGTCGACTCTACCATAGACCAGTTAACTGCATACATTGAGGGGGAGTATCATGGACTAGTCAACTACATACATTGAGGGGGAGTAAAATACAGGGAAGTCAACTGGTATATGTTATATATTATTTTGTCATCATAAAAAAGGGGAGATTGTTAGATCCAGTTTTAATGATGCAAATAATATACATATGCAGGAAATCAATTACAAGGAATCAAGAAGATACTACAAGATTTCTAGAGTCAAACTTGATGCCTAAGGAAAGAAATCAATCAGCAAGATTATAATCTAATCAACAAATCTAGATGTCTAAGGAAAGAACTTGCAAATCTGGAAAACTAAGGAAAGAACTCAATCAACAAATCAATCAGTAAAGAGTAAAATCCAGTTGCGATAGAGAGAATCAAGCAAGCCTAAACTTAAGGCATAAATCAAGGCCAGCATCCCGGAAGATCGAAGATCCTGTAAAGGTTGATACACGACTAATTTCGGAAGAACCAACAATCAAGAAGCAAGTCTTCATTTCATACATCTGCTGAAAGAAGGAAATCAAGAAAAAGCAACTGCTAGCTATCTTATTCTTGGAAAGAATCAATCTCTTTCCAAGGATCAAATCTCTTGGGTTGTCAAGCCTCGACCTTCATCAAAGTATTTATACCCAGCCTTAAACTTTCGTTAGATATACTTTGATCGAACCAAAAATCCCTCTCTTTGTTCTACTGCAAACAAACATTGTAGTTCACTAAGATCTGCTGTGTAACAAGTCAGAGAAAAAAGGAGAGTATAACACCGGTGAAGCATTGTATCAAAAAGAAACGAGTGCTAGAGAAACTGTGTTGTCAATTTACTTCAACTGTACTCGGAGAAACACATTTACTAAAGAGAACTCTCTTGCAACCCAAGAGGACTGGACTACGATTTACATTGAATCCGAACTAGTATAAAATCCTGGTGTCTTTAATTCCTGCTTTTACTTTCTGCATTTTACTTTCTGTCATTATAACTGCTAAGTTATTATATCTAGTCGATTACTAGATTAGCTAGTCAACTAATAAGCAATTAAGTTTAAATATTTACAATTCACCCCCCCCCCCCTCTTGTACTTTCAGTTCCAATTTAATATGCGTGAAGTTTATATATACAGGAACTCCATAATCTTACATATTATGCTGGAACTTTTCGTGTGCTGGAGTTCCAACATAATATGCTGGAAGTTTATACGCAGGAGCTCCATAAACCGCATATTATGCTGAAATTTTTCGTGTNGGTCTGTTACAGAGAATATGACATTCAGTGTCTACTGTTACACATTCTTCAATGGCCCTCATAATTGTCATTAAAGAGAGGCTTGATCCTAGGACCTTATTTCTTAGGTGCAACTATAAATAATGAGCTCTAGAACCATTGTAAATGGGATGAATTTTCTGACAAGCTGATACTACACTTTGTTCAAAACCCAATGATATTTTACCTTCTTGTTTGTTCATATTGTTACTACTACCTCCGGAAGTTAGGCTCTCGTCATCAAGATTTCTCGTGTCTTATTTCGATTTCAACGCTAAGTCTTACATTCTTGTCTAATTTATTTATTATTTTAAAATCAAATCGATTCACTTGTCTATAAACCACTTATAAATCAATTGTACAGTTTTTCGGTTAAACAATCGTGATGAGAAGCTGCGTGTAATAGCGAACAAAAGAATGTTCATATCCATACATTTATAAATTATAATCCTTTGCACTCAAGATAATCAACCTACACCAGACACCAATAATTGGGGGCATCGTCTGATAATTGATATTTAAACGAATGAAAAGGCAAAGCCAAACCTGTCGAACGAAAAAAGAAAGCAATCACAAAAGAACTTTACAACAAATTCCCAACTTAACATATACAACTAAATATAAGGAATAACATAAAGAGTCATGACTTGGGGCCTATTTGCACTATTTCTGGACACTTAATTTCTTTAACAAAAAATAGTAAAGAATTTCACAACCTTTTCTAGACGAGCTTAACGGTCCATCTCCTTTATTAATTAAGTCAAGAAATACACATCATTATAAAGATCAGCTTAAGTTCTGAATACTGGATATGTAAAAAATAATTATACAACTAAGTTACTTAAAATCTAACTACGTGTAACTTCTATTTAAAATCATCCATTGATACTTAAAATATTTCTATTAAATTACAAGATAATATAAATAATGATATACAACGTTATTAAACTTTAATCTCATTATAAATACTAGCAATGGTGTGACAATTGTTCTCATTCTCATGACAGCATCTTCTGCAACCCCCCTCCATCCCAAAAAAAATAATTAAAAAACAAACTTTAATCTCATTATAAATACTAGCAATGGTTGCATGCACATCTTTCCTCCAAAGAAAAGGGAAGCTAGCTAGGAGAAGATGGGTGCTCTTCACTATCTTTCAAACTGTTGTATTGTCACTAGCACAAGAACCAATAGGAAACCCATGCAGGTAAATCCTTTTTTGTAATCTTTTCTTCGCTTTTTTTGTCTTTTCTCTTTTTCCCTCTGGTCATTCTTGGTTTAAGTTTTTGTGCTATTGACAAATTCTAATTTTTTTATGTTGGCAGACAGTAGAGATAAAAGTGAAAATGGACTGTGATGGATGTGAAAGGAAAGTCAAGAATGCCGTTAACAGCATGAAAGGTTCTTTACTCTAAAGTATAAAGCTCTCTTCATGAATATAAGACGTGTTTAACGTTTAAATATCAAGAACGCAATTACCAAAAATAAATATCAAGAACGCATATAAAATCGCTTCTAAAGTTATATGGTCTTCTAAATTCACTGCGGTGAAAGAAAGAAAAAAAGTCAAATTCAAACTGCGGTTGGATGTACGCTATTTTGATTTTATAATTTTAGTTATAATACCGATGCAAAGGTCTAATAAGAGGCTCTTAAAATGGAGTATAATCTAATTGGTCTCAAGTCATATAACGAATATACGTTTTCATTTTTATGCCATTGTCCATAAACATAAAGAATTTGTCCCTTTTCTTTTGCCAAAGGATTTATATAATAAGAGGTTAGTTACTTTTTTTCAAATTACTAATTTAATTTATCATAAACATTTACTTGAATTTATACGTGACGACACGACTAGTGCCTAAAACTTGAACTCTTTGTTAGAAATAAAGACTTTACTGATTCCCAAACTTTATCCTTTGAAATAAAAAGAACTCTGGTGGCATTGGATTTTCAGGTGTGAAAACAGTGGAAGTGAACAGAAAGCAAAACAGGGTGACAGTGAGTGGTTATATAGACCCAAACAAAGTACTGAAGAGTGTAAAAAGCACTGGGAAAATGGCAATATTCTGGCCATATGTCCCTTATGATCTTGTCTCCTATCCATACGTAGCTCAAGCTTATGACAAAAAAGCTCCTCCTGGTTTTGTTAAAAATGTTCCGCAGGCAAATGCAGATGAACATACGATTACTTACCTCTTCAGTGACGACAATCCAAATGCTTGTTCCATTATGTGAAAATTATTGATGACTTCTACGTACATGTTATATATATCTCTCGGTTCCACTTTAATTTTCTTCTTCTTTGTCTTTTAGGTTCGGGAAAAAGATATCATTTACTTGTTCTCAATATGAAGATCAAGCTGAATAAAATGTTCCTTGACTCGTTGTTTTGTTAGGACAAAAATGTGTTGGGATTATAATGCATGAATAATACTAATAATACTTGGATATTTAGTATTTATGATTTATTTGGTTAATTAAATTAAAAATGCAATATACGGGGTACGGATAAATGCAATGTTTCGTTAAAAAAATATATTTATTCTCGGAAAACAAGTTTGACTTCCCTAATGGGAGTGTAGGAAAACAAGTCCCATAAGTTGCATGATGATCTCTTCCCACCCACGAACACCCTACTTGGCCCCTCAACCACCTGCCTCCACCCCAGCTTCATCCNATCTCAAAATAAGTTAAAAAAAAATACTTATTTTCTAGAAATATTAAGTAGTAATATTTTTACGGAAAATATTTTCCTCCACACAAAGCACATCCACGATGTATAATCTATGTTTTTTGTTTTATTCCTGATCAATAATCTTGGATAAAATTTGCGTCAATTTTAACCTTGACCTTTTTAATAAACTGGATTTGGCGCAAGAGCAATTTTGTCATTTTATCCAAGTACAGTTAATCCTTCGATTGTTACCCCATAACAAATGTGGTATAAACTAACCTATATTTCAATACAAAAGTTATCGGTAGCACTTGTACTGAACAAAGAAATGCAACCAAACAAAATTATAAAATAATACCTATTCTTATGCTAAACATTTTTTTCATATTTGAATCCTGATAACCAAACGACCTAATACTTATCTGAATCTTAACAATTGCAATGAGGAAGCAGTTCCCCGTAAATTAAAGTGTTCTCAAGCTAAGCATTTAACTTTGGCCAAACCCATATGCGGCCCCTCTAACTTGACGCTAAAATTTATGTGGACACCTCAACTTAGCTATGTTTCATTTAAACACTTCAACTATGTTTTAAGTATTTCACTTAAACATAATTTTGACAACTTTAAACAATGCTAAGTGCCTGAATGCTACTTGCCATTAACATGAAAATTAACACCACTAATAAAGAAACAAGTCAGCAAAAGAAAAAAAACTACAATGAAAGAAGAATCATTTCTTTTTTCTATTTTCTTATTTTCTTTCTCTTTTACAATTTTTTTGCTTAAGCCATTATCAGACATTTTCATGGCCCTGCTGCAAAAGTCCATCACTGCTGGCCAGACCCATTTCTCACTTCTCCCCAAGAATGCCATCATCTAAACATGTGGAGTAAAAATCCAGATCTGAATTGAAATTCAAGAACAAAATTGTCCATAGAAACTCCAATAACCACAAACTATATATCTGGGTCAAAATCAACCAACCCACATCTATGAAATTCAAAAACAAATCAAGTGGGAATGAAAACACAACAAGATAACCTCCAAATTCTTCAATTCGAAATTTAAAGCTTCGAACATGAGTGGGTATTTATAGAGCTTTTAAGTTTCAACTTTAATCTTTAATTGATATTATCAGTAATAATATGAAATTTTTAATTTTTCTTAAAGCTTCGAATTTTTGAAGAACCGGGTAACAAGAATTTCAAACTGATGTTACCCAAATTCATCATCGAACAGAGCAACATAAATGGAGGGGCCGCAATTTTCTCTTTTTATGCATTTTATTTTGTAAAAAGCTTCAACACATAAATTATGTCATTATCAAACCAGAGAAATTCCTACAATATTTGGAAGGTTTTCGTCCTATTTTTCTTCAAGACAGTGGAGGAGGAAGGGGAAGAGTGGCAGAGGAGAGAGAGGGGGATGAGAATGGTGGCGGAGGAATTGTAGCAATAGGCCAGAGAAGGTGGTGATGAACTTCTGGGGAGAAGGAATATAAAAAGAAAAGGAAAATATTATATCAGATCCAATCACGCGCCTAAGAGCCGTGAACTACAATCTTTTTGCCATGTCAGTGTTTTGTATTTAAGTGGAACACTTAAAACATAGTTGGAGTGTTTAAATGAAACATAGCTAAGTTTAGATGTCCATATAAATTTTGGCGCCAAGTTAGAGGGGCCTTTAACTTTCTTACATCATATAATTAAAAGTGATGTCTTGGTCAGACTAGTGGGAAGGGTTCTAAAGTCTTTAACTTTCTTACATCATATAATTAAAAGTGATGTCTTGGTCAGACTAATGGGAAGGTTTGGCCTTTAACTTTCTTACATCATATAATTAAAAGTGATGTCTTGGTCAGACTAATGGGAAGGTTTGGCCTTTAACTTTCTTACATCATATAATTAAAAGTGATGTCTTGGTCAGACTAATGGGAAGGGTTCTAAAGTCAGTAAAGTTATTATCTTAGTACTGTTGCCCATTTCCATCAAAGCGGTAGGTGACGAAGGATCATTATTCTGGCATAATATAGAAAAATAATTAGAGGTTCAAATAATTTTCTTCTTTGTTTAAAAGCAGTGGTCAGGAGTAGGATGGAAGTATATATATGAAATCAGAAAAAATTAGACAGATAAATAAATAAAATTATAAGTGATTGTATACGGTCGAGATAGTATGCCTTTGATCTATCGGCTCGAGAGGTCATCCAAAGCCCGAGTTCAGGTAACGTTGAGTTCGAGCCTGAGAGACCAGATCCGAGTCCGAAGAACAAAGCACGACGCATACCGAGGCCGAGTATGCTCGACCCCGAAATAGTACCGTTGTGGACTTATAATAGAATGAGCAAGATTCCTGCCACGTTCCCAAAGTCATGGCGTAAATCCTGAAATTTGATTGTACTATTCCGTATTAGGCGGTTAGGCAGGTGTACCAATAATATTCCTTACTGTAAATAGAAATGTACCTTAGGGATCCCCTATTATATAAAGGGGACCCCAATTATTTGTAACATCATCTAATCATTGACAAAAGAATATACTCTCTACTTTTTGCTCTTAGCTCATCTAAAGTGTCCCTTTTATCTTTACTGTTCTTGCTTTATTATTCTTGGTTCACCTCGAGGTCACTAAGCTCGAAGTTACTACTGCCTGCTAGCTTATCTACTGGTTTGGTCTTGCTTACTTCCCTTCATCTATACCTCATATTACTTGATTATTAATCGGTATTGAATTAAATCACGTTATCTTTAAAACCATAAATAAAATTTAATTGTTACTCGTATTTTTTAGGAAAACAGTTTGGTGTCCATCGTGGGGCTAAAGATAATAGCGATTATTTCATTACTGATTCTCATTACACATGTTATTTTTATACTTTTTCTTGTCAAGATTTTTTTGATTCTCAGGCTGAAACATGTCTAGCCCACAAAACGCACCTGTTCATGACAATGATGGTCTTGGAGAAAACAACAATGTAGGGGTCAGTGTACAAACAATAAACCCAGTGGAAGTGTCTAATATGGAACTAGTTGATGTAAGTTCGCATATTGGTCTAAACGCGGATTTAGGCATAGACCCCGGGGGGAATGTAGCAGGGAAGCCCGATCTGGTGGCCAAGGAGCACAAGGGATAAGAGATGGGGGAATCAGCCTTCAACTAATATTCGAGATGCTGCAAGCTCAGCAGATCACTATCGCTCAACTTCAAAGTCAGAATAAGACTCCTAGTGTAGCTGAACATGAAAACGCTCAACGCGCTGAACCAGCGCCGGAGAGGTCAAACGAAAATGACTCGGGGACTGAACCCACCATTATGAGGATGCTCGAAGAGGATCAAGTCCGGAGAAAAGAAGATTGAAAACAATGACAAAAAGGTGGAAACTTACAACTCCCGTATTGACCAGATACATGGGGCACCTCCAGTTTTAAAAGGTTTAGATGCCAAAAAGTTTATACAAAAATCATTCCCTTAGAGAGCGGCTCCGATGCCCATACCTAAAAAGTTTTACATGCCTGATATACCCAAGTATAACAGGACAACCGACCCTAACGAGCATATTACCTCATACACTTGCAGGATCAAAGGAAATGGCTTGAACGATGATGAGATCGAATTGGTTTTGTTGAAAAAGTTTGGAGAAACACTATTGAAGGAGCCATGATATAGTAGCATAACTTGCCTCATAACTCTATTGATTCGTTTGCTATGTTAGCAGATGCCTTCGTGAAAGCACACACCGGGGCCATAAAGATGGCCACGAGAAAATCGGACGTCTTCAAGATAAAATAGAGGAACGACGAGATATTGAGGGAGTTCGTGTCTAGGTTCCAGATGGAGCAAATGGAGTTACCACTAGTCTTGGATGACTGCGCAGTACAAGTTTTTATGCAGGGTTTGAATGAAAGGAGCTTAATTGCGTCTCGACAATTAAAGTAGAACTTGATCGAGTATCAAGCTGTGACATGGCAGATGTGCACTACCGTTACCAATCAAAAATCAGGGTCGAGGACGACCAGTTAGGAGCCCCCTTGGGTTCAGTTCATCCTAACAGATTCGCAGCCAAACCCCCGAGAGATGCAGACAGGGAATCAAGATCGAACAAGGAATGGTATCAGCCATACGTCGATCGGAGAAATAATGGCTCTGGTTGAAACGTTCCTCGAAATGATTGAAGGAACGATTGAGTTCAAAGCTCTCGGGGACTCATGAGTAAGAGTGGGTTCGATAAGCATACCGACCCCGTAGAGGCACCTCAATTGTCAGAGTATAATTTCAGCATAGATGTATCAGGGATCATGTCAGCTATTGGAAGAATCAAAGACACCTAGTGGCCAGGTCTATACAAACTGATCCTTCTCAAATGAACCCAAACTTGATGTGCAAATATCACAGAACACATGGTCATAAAACAGAAGATTGATGGCAGCTAAGGGAAGAAGTGGCTCGGTTGTTCAACGAAGGTCACCTTCGAGAATTCCTCAGTGATCGAGCCGAAAACCACTTCAGGGAGAGAGATACAAGAAAAAATGAGAAAGAAGAACCACAACACACAATCCACATGATCATTGGCGGAGTCGATATCCCTCAAAAACCTGTATTCAAGCGCACCAAGGTATCAATCACCAGAGAAAAATAGACTCGGAGCTATGTGCTCGATGACGCCTTATAGTTCTATGACGAAGAAGCAAAAGGCATATCTCAGCCACACAATGACACCC